ATACTTTTCCTTGCGTGCAAGGATTTTAATGTAATTACGTCTCGTTCTACCAGAAGATATACAAGGAGAAAGATAAGAGTGAAGGGGATGGCTAGTATCTGATAAAATAACACCTGCCAGGAGTTTGCATGATTTTAAATGTCTATCCACAACCATATTAATTATGACCTCGAAAGATTCACCACACGTCTTACTAACTGCCTTCAGCACTCTTCGCAATACAGCAAAGTCTTTTCTCAAAAGCCCGGGAAAGAATAATGGAGAACAGTAAAGAATAATAGGTAATATGCAAGAATTGACAAATTGTAAGAGTAAATGACGAGTAATTCCAAGAGCATGCAATCTCTTTATGTAGTAGGTCAGACGGAAAACCTTCTTTGATAACGATAAAACGTGGGAAGACCAAGACAGATCAGAGGAAAAGGTGACACCAAGATAATTGACCTTCGACACTGAGTTTATCAAAGAGTCTCCGATGGTACAAGCACTATGGGATCTCAAAATAGTGTTTATATTCCGTTCATGTCTCATACTAAAGTTAACAGCTTGACATTTAGATGGATTAAGTATGAGACCATTACCAACAGACCAACAATCAATACGAGACAAAAACTCATTCATTTCTATGGGATGTAAAGAGGAAGATATAGGCATACATACAGTGAGATCATCCGCGTACTTCACAAAAGTGTTTTCTGTGGAAGATGGCAGGTCATGCAGAAAAAAAGAGAATAGAAGAGGTGAAAGAACAGCTCCTTGTGGTACACCTTCCTGAGACAGTAGAGAATCTGAACTCTTTCCTCCAAACACAGTGTACTGTTCCCTTCCAGAGAGGTAGGAACATAGCCAGTTGGTTATCCAGCTGTCAGTGTTGACGCTGATTAACTTGTTAAGTAAACGTTGTCTTGGTATAGAGTCAAAAGCTGAAGTATAGTCCAGAAAAGCACATCGAACATACTTCTTACCCTTTTCTAAGTTGAACACTATGTTGTGATGCAGAACTGCAACAGCATCTAAAGTGCTTCTTTTGCGCCTGTATGCAAACTGGTATGGGTCAGTATGCTCTTTTATCGCAGGCTGAAGTGGAAGTATTAATAATTTTTCCATGGTTTTGAGGAAAGGTGAAGTTATTGCAATAGGTCTAAATTTTACATTCTTATCACCAAATGCTTTCTTGGGTACAGGAATTATCTTCATCTTTCTCCACATTTTCGGTATGAGATTAGATGAGAAAGATCTGTTAAATATAGTTGTGAACGGATGACACAGAACGTCAGCACATTTTTTAAAAAGGATGTTTGGGATACCATCAGGTCCCAAACATCGAGATGAATTAAGCGACTGGAGACATCCTCGTACATCAGTTTCAGTGAAAGTATGAACACAGCTATTTTTTAAACCCGTGGATAGAGGGAGCATCACATCAGATGACTGACGTACAAAAGACTTATTTAAGTCACAAACATTCAGCTGGTTATCGCTTCTAAACTTTCTGTCACCTGTAAGTTCTTTAAAGAATTTCCACATACTTGGAGAGTTTTTGCAAGATAAGAGTTTTTGAGTAAACATGCAGTTGAGACGTCTAATCTCTAGGTTTATCAGACCATTTAGCTTACGAACTTCATTTGAGTTCTTCTCCTTGTACATTCTTTCTTTCATCCTCCGTAGTCGTTTTAGTTGTGAAGATGTAAGTCGATCAAAACTTACAAAAATGGTTTCAGTGGGACAACAAATATCAAAACAGAATTTAAGGTAACAAGTGATAACATCAGTAGTGTTTTCGAGTGAGTCATCTGTAAATAATTCCCAGTTAGTCGTATGAAACATGTTTTTCAGATTTCGGATATTTTCTTCTCAGCCTATAACGCTTCTGCTACCTGTGAACACTAAGGCGTCCGTATATAATGAGGTTAACACACCCCACTCATTCATCATGACGCAATACAGCCTTATTGAACTACGGCTTTCTTAATTGATGCTATTGTTTTTAACTACCCAACTATTGTGATATGATAAAGTAAAATTATATTTGCTTTCCTGAACGGAACTAGCTGGAAACAAATATTGCCCGAACATGCGCAATAAAGGAATAACAAAGGTCAGACAGCTTTAATCTTGTATCTTCATTAGCCAATAATTCGACTCTGGGAAAACACTTCAGATACGAACTCTTTGCAGCACTACACAAAGAGCATCGAATTACTTATTGAATTCCTCACATAATCTTTATGAAGAACAACCATGCTTTCGGATTACAGTCATTTTGATTTACTAGACAATATAAGGCTAGTAGTATGCAACATTAATCATAAATGTATTGATGGGGATGGTGCTCTTTTGACAGTTAGCGAAGAGTATTTTTCATTAATTCTGCTGATGGATCTAAAACATGCAGGTAATCTATTTCTGTTACATAAAAACACTGAGAAGTATAATTAACATTGATAGATGTATATGTTTCCAACCTGTCAACATAAGAATAGTCAACTTATATTAGGCATGAGCTTATCGACCTTATTTTTAGGGTTATATCGGTACTCATTAGCCCGCTAATGACAAAATTATAACAAGAATACATAGAAACTACTTGCCATCAGATTATTATCGTACATATGAGCCAAGAGGTCAATTGACAATCGTCTACAGTTTTTCGAACCTTAGACAAGACCTGCAAGACTAAGAAACACGGGGATATTGCAGATACTTGACTGTTGGTACACCATGTTATTAGAACTGAGGAAAATGTTGGCTTATGCAAGATTTCCCTTAAATGTATTTACCTTCCTGTTGGTCTGAATGCGCGTTGGTGCGACTTGTGGAAACGAGTCAACAGTTTATGCATCGCTTTAAGGAGCTATCTGTCTGCTCCCCAAACGTCTGTTAAAATAACTTGACATAACCCATAGAACCAAACGACATAGATCATGAGGAATACATGTTTTTCTATGAGAATAGCATTTTATAACGTAATTTGACCTGACACTAATATATTTTGGCGACTACCATTCACACAAACTTCTAGTTACCAAAACTACTTTGCGTCTCAACGAATTCCAAATTGTGCCGGACACTTGCTCATGCCAATCTGTTAAAAATGGTCTTAAACAATTAGTCACTAAATGTTTACTACACAGTAAGTCTCGTAGGTGTAGATAAATGCAGATGTAGTGAAAGGTCTGTGCAATGTCGAAAGATAAGTTCGTAGCATAGAGTTTTCAATGTGGTTCACAGTTATCGTAACTTATTTTTCATGTAAATGAGCATTAGTGAGTCCGATTATTCTTATCGAAGTATATAAAACGTCTAATTTTCCTGAAAAATCAGTGAATTGCCGCAGGATTCAACGCAACCAACTTAAACCCCGATTCCCTAGTTTTCTAAATCAAAGCTACCTAACTGTACTTTTTGGTCACCTTTATCCTAGAAAGAGATTCAAAATCAAGCCGAAGGCTAAACAACTGGACGTAAAAATTCTAGTAGTTTTAACTTTTGTATACCGCATGGTGTGATGACCTTTCTTAGTATGTGATAAAAGTGAACGCATAGAAAGATAACAACCTAGATGTAAAACATACATTACTTAGACCAGTTGACAGGACCGACTCATGTTTCTTACAAATTCACATCAAATCTTCAGTGAGGATGTCCAGACGATTTATGTAGATGCGACACCAGAAATTAAACATCTCAAACGATGTCGTCATTTGATGAAGGTGTAAAGTGACACACAATGGTACTTACTGTAGCGTACTCTTCAACAGTCAACTGAATATCTTGCAGTATGTACTGACAATTGTCAAACGTGTGGTTTGACATAATGTAAAACTACATTACAGTTTACCACTTGTCCTCAACATAAGCAAACTACTACTTAAGAGCAAGTAGACAAAAGACTATCACCTAGAGACAGTGGTTTGCCGAAAAAGATGTCCAACAAATGACCAAGTCAAAAAAACAGACAGTTAAACGACTGGACGTCCTGGTCTTCATTTAATCAACAGACTATCATTACTGAACAAACTCCTTAAAAGACATACTCAATAACAAAGTGAGGTCCATTTTCATCTTCTCAGTAGCCAACAAACAACTACATGGTAGGCTCGGTCGCCTTTAGCCCCAAAACACCCTGGCACGGCCGAGAGTAGGGAGAGTCAGTTCTCCCTCTCGAAATGCTCTCACGCGGCCACGTGCATAAAACCACTGCCATGGAAGTCCTACTCACTACCTTCTTGCAGCGGTGGTGTTGTTTAAGAAATCGAGAGGGCAAAAAGCGAATGTCCGGCGCTCTAACCGGATTTGTGCATACAGAGGATCCACCTAGGGGAGTTAGAAAACCCTGATTCCAAACCAATGGTGCACATGAGCTACAGTATTCCAAGGAAACAGATGGCGTATGAACCTATTGTTGGTCACTGGCTACCATGGGACTGTATCTCCTTACATTACCCCACCTTCAGGTCAAAAGCTCGATGTGTGGCCTCTTAAGAAAACCACCTGCTTCGGTTTGAGCGCTCGGGCAGTATACCAGCCCTCACACAAATCAAGTGATTTATGTGACGAATATATATTCGGTGCCCTGTTGTACCGATGTTCATGTGTTTAAAAAAATAAACAAATAAACTACATGCCAGTTTTTTTCGTAAGTGCCTTTTCACAAAGGGTTTTATGGAAACTAGAAATTCTGTCAGGTGACGATGAATATGCCTGTCATTCGCACCTATGTTGTGTGCTATTCCAGACTTATTTAACCACGCCACTCAAGTGTCTGAATAAGACCTGAAATGATGGAAAACGAGAGTCAGACGGTGAACACTAAGGATTATCATCAACTCGATTAAATACTGGTCATGGAACCCAGTTCTATCATGAAGAGCACGATTCCAGGACTTCTATAGTATATATGTATTTAACTAATTTTTTCAAATGACTGTTACAACAATATCTATTTACTCCACGGTCGTCTTAGTATGTATCATTCCATATGGAACACCAAAAGCATTTCATTCGTGAACATGTGCACCTTTTCTCTTTGACCGCCTATTTTCCTCGTTAGCCCATTCAATCACCATATAGCATAAAACAAAAGCTACAAAAAGAACATTTTAATTGAATTGATGACTTACGAGTACCAACAACAAGTACTTTCTCCCTAAATCTCCGCATTAGGTTTGGGAACCCATGTGTAAAGAATCCTGCAGAGGCTTTTTGTTCGTAAGGTGATAGTGAGTACGTTATAACACCTCGGCGATAGTTCAAGTGACCGAATTTCATTCTTGTTGCAAATACGTTGAACAAGCCGCTTCAGCTTGGGTTTTGATACTACTTGTATTGACCTTGACAATGCAAGTCAGTCAGTTGCCTCGTCGACAAATGAAGCTTCAACCACATGTTAAGATAAAAAGATCCCACTGATTAGCGGTTCGAGAGGAAAATGTATACTCAGTTCACAAAGAATTAGTGCAAGAACTGTGAATATTCTGGAGTATACTAGTATGTCCTACGTCTTAAATTCAAGAAAAATAAAGACGTCAATGTCGAATATATTAATCAGCTTAAGAACTGCGATCAAGTCAACTTTAGGTTTGGCCTTGATACTTCTACGAACAATAGGGAGGCTGGAAAGGACGACACAAAGCTTAACAGCACAAGACGTTTTTCCCAGGGATTTCGTTTGATGATCCTTGAAAATTTCTGCTGAAGTATTTCCTTTTAACTTAATGTTCAGATAAACTTCATCCTATTATCTCTATTTAGTTTTCGACCATAAAACAACTTTCTTTGACACGTGATGCAACGTAAGCATCTTCATATCTCTCAACAGACTATTTTATTTGTACATTAGGCAGGGACGTGATTATTCAGCTTTAGTAGATGACATTATCGAAAAATATTTCTTCCCTGAATTTTCTAAATTCTTTTCCGGCGGAACGCTGGGTTGCGTTAGCAGACTTAGTTCAGTTTAGCTAGTCTGTCATCACAGGGAAGGTTGACTATTCCATGTATATCGTTCATAAAACGTCACTTGGCGCCTACGTCTTCCATTTATACCACCTTCTACCGACTACTGGGAATATTTAATCTAGATTAGTAGTCATACTTAGCTGATTAGCTTGACTGAAAAAAAGTAGATGATCAACTGCGAACATGGTCGATTGTCATAGAACTTTAACAAGGATTATCAGCATTTAAGTTATTCTATGTAACATGTTTGTTGAAACATAAAACACTGATGAGTATAGACATAAACGCGTGTTATATGTAGGTCACACACTTACAGACATTAAAACTCGACTGGTTATCGATTCTAAATTTGTCCCCTTATTTGTTTATTTAAACGTTATTTTTTCCGGTACAAAATTTCCCTAAAATATTTTGACCCAGCCACCGGTCGCCTAATTTCCGGTTCCCTAGTTCCATGGTTAAAAGGAATATACGAATATCAGAGATCACGGTGATATTAAATTATAAGTTTCATCCAATCTCTTTAAAGCAGTTTAGGAAGATTTAAACTGAGCGAGCGTTTGAGTCGACCGTTTGTTCACGTATTCTAGAGGCTTGCTGAGCGTGTGACAAACAATTTGAGTTTAATTTGTTCGGGTTTATCGATATTTCCAGTATAAACTTCTGATTCCAAAGGTTAAAATCAGTATTTCTGGTATATTTTAGTGTCATGGCATGCCTTAGCTTTGTTATTTGTGGTTTTGAAAAGTGAGAGGTCACGTATAATTTGTCTCGGCCATTAGGGATCAAGTTTCCATGCTTCCCACCTATCTTCATATGATAGCTTTAGAGTGGTAAGTTTTGTTAAAGGATATGTACATTCTCAGTTTTCTGTCTGCCTAGGGAATATAACTGAGCAGTATTCTAGTGGAGCTGAACACATACAGTGTATAGAGTCATTTTGAATTCATTTAAATGGAAGTTACGATTGATAAACCCAATATGTCTACGGGCGAGTGGGTATTACAATGAACGTCATCCAATTCTATGCGTCTACCAGCAATTACAATGGGGACGTTGAAGATCAGTTCTACGATAAGCTGCAGTCAATCGCTGAAAACTGTCCAACAAGGGACTTGACTATTCTGATAGGAGACATAAATGCCAAGGTTGGAATGGACAACACTGGATATGAAGACATCATGGGACGACATGGACCAGGAGGAAGGAACGAAAATGGTGAGAGATTTGCAAACCTATGTGTCTTCAATAAACTGGTCATAGGCGGCACCATATTCCCACATAAGCACATAAACTTCACCGGATCACACCACGCAAAACCAAATCGACCATATTTGCATCAACAAAACGTTCAGGAGGACGATGGAAGACGTGAGAACCAAGAGAGGAGCTGATATAGCATCCGATCATCACTTGCTGGTCGCCAAGATGAAATTGAAACTCAAGAAGCACTAGACAACGGGGCGGACAGTATCACAAAAGTTCAATACGGCCTTTCTCCAGGATACTAACAAACTCAACAAATTCAAGATAGTCCTCAGCAACAAGTTCCAGGCCTTTCATGATCTACTCAATGGAAAAGGAACTACTGTAGAGAGCAACTGGAAGGGGATCAAAGAGGCAATCACTTCAACATGTCATGAGATCCTGGGTCACAAGAAGCATCACCACAAGGAATGGATCACTGTTGATACACTGGATAAGATTCAAGAAAGAAGGAACAAGAAGGCAGCAGTCAATACCAGCCGAACAAGAGCAGAGAAAGCCAAGGCACAAGCTGAATACGCAGAAGTAAACAAACAAGTGAAGAGGAGCATCAGAACTGGCAAACGTAAATATGTGGAAGATTTAGCAACGACGGCGGAAAAGGTTGCAAGAGAAGAGAGCATGAGACAGTTGCATGATACAACATATAACTCGGTGGAAATTATCGTAAACCAGAATGACCAGTGAAAATCAAGGAGAGCAAAGTAATCACCAACATCGAAGAACAGTGAAACAAGTGGGCAGAGCACTTCGAGGGACCCTTGAATTGACCAGTTCCACGGAACCTGTAGTGGCATTGGACAATAGCCACACAGTCCACAAAGCTGTGAACACGAGACTACTCAGAAAATAGATATTCAATATTTAACGCGGAGAAATACCTAACAATAAAGAAGGCGCGAACAATGAATTGAATGGACTGGGTTTGATCGGATGGCATGGCTCGGCCATGCAGGCGTGGTCCATCTAAATGTTACCTTATATCTTCTATTCATATTAAATATATTGTTCCTTCTCTAGCCTAACCTTGTTCTACATCATTTATTGGTAATTGATACGATACAGTGAGTTGGCGTAGTCGATGGTGTAACTTCCAAGTAAGATCTTATAGATTAGGTAGTTATATCATGACAAATCTACAAATTTAGGATTAGGTCTATTATTAGAGCAGCACTAATATCATAGTAGACTATAATTCTAAATTGGTGAGCCCTTTTTGAACACAAATTTAACCTCATTTCTGTCATTAACATTTTTTTTACTTAATCGTAAAAGTAGACCTGATTATCCGTAAACTAATTTGAGTATATAACTAGTTTGTTCCGTATTATCTTAAGTTATTCGTGTTATAGTAACCACTTTTTGTGCTAACCTTATTGCTATATTTGTCGCATACCTCATGTCAGACTCAATAGAAACCCATAATCTGGAGGATTTGTCACCAGTGGAGATAGACACTGTTATGACTACGAAATCCCGACTTCCAGAATTTGATCGTAGTGATCCTGAGTTGTGGTTTGCTCAACTAGAGCATTATTTCACGAGACACAATATCAAATCTGAAGGGATTCGCTATAGAGACTTGTGTTCTATCCTTCCTCCTTCAGTCGCCAAAGAAGTCCGTGACTTGATTTTAGATCCACCATCACCACAACCATACACCATCTTAAGACGAGAGATAATGAACCGTTTATCATTATCAGATAGTCAAAGAATCCAAAGACTTTTTCAAGGTGAAACACTAGGTGATCGGTCGCCGTCACAGTTTTTACGTCACCTCCAAGTCTTAGTGGGTGATAACACAGTGGGTGAAGCAGTCCTAAAACAAGGATGGATACAAGCTCTCCCATGCTACGTCCAACACTGTTTGGATGCACAAGATCCTGAAACCTCATTATCTCATTTAGCGCGTATAGCCGACAGAATAATGGAAAGAGGTCTTCCAACTGGATCGGGCACAATAAATCACACACAAAAAGTAGAATCAGCAAAAGACCCCGTCATAGAAGGACTCATTGCGAGTGTTAAGAGTCTCACTGAGACTGTCACCGCGCTAAGATCGAAATAAAGACCTATTCACTACTTGTCTGGTTTCTTCTATCAATAGCACGAGGGTTACTTCAAGGCACGAAATCTACTTTTCAAAAATAATCCAGGCGAGTTCAACTATTTTACTTAATGATTTTTTTAACTTAACATGTATATATTTTCCAGTTACTTCTGCCACATATTTGTAATTGTCCCTAGGCTAAATGCACTAACTTTTGGAAAATTTATAATTCTTCATATTCCTGCCTGAAGTTTCACAAGCAGTCTAAACTTTAAAATTATTTTCTGGTCATGTTCATTATTTTTAAATCGTCATATACGTCAACAACCTGCATGTTAACCTGGCCCATACATACGTTACACTATATCTCCATGTCTTCTAAATTTAGAAATCATCTGGATCGCCTTTAACATTTATCAATAAACCCATCATAGTCGTTGTTGCTAATCGTATTTGGGTTTATGGATTAGTTTATCATATTAGCAGCCTAAAATGCGAACATAGTTTAAATAATAAGATTAAAAATTTAGGTACTATCAACTGCACTAGTAAAATAACTAAATCCCCAGGTAGCTGTTGGCTAAACAAACGTTTAAAATCAAAACTCCGTAGCCTACTAGAATTAACACTAAACGAATATTTCTGAATTGAAATTTATAATTAAATTAGGCGTCTCGGATTCTTTAACGTTATAAATTTCTGATAATTTCGAATCACCTAAAGCAACAATACCTATTTTTCCACTGACTAATCCTCAATCAACACTATAACTAGTTAAACGTAATAGTTTCAGGATATCGTCATAAAGCATTGTCATGACTTGACAATCACGTAATATGATTGATAAAATTAATGAAACTATTAACAAATCGGTCAGCAAATTGACTTATAATTATCACTAGTGTTGTTTTTCTTTTATCTTCATTCACTACAGATGATTACAGTATGTTTCTCTATCAGTTGCTCATTCAGTAAATATCTCAAAACCTTGTCA